TTACATCAGGTGGACTGTGTGCTCGTTTATCACCCTTATTCTTTAAAAAAATGTAATGTTATTACAACATATAGCTGATCTGGTGATGGCGCTGGAATTTTGCCCTATCTGAACGAGGAAAAAATGGAGTTATAACTCGGCAAGTGTTGGGGATAGTGGTGGTGCTCAAACAAATATTCTAGCTAACAACAAGGTTCAATTGCTGGAAATAGAAAAAGATCAAAATGGTCCGTAAAGTTTGCTATGCCGGGGTTTTTTGAGTCCCCGATTACGATTTTGGGGTCAAATTGTTAGGGTCAAATTTTAGCAAATAAATTTTAAAAGTACGCCTTTACCTATTAAAGTACGCACTTTACCTTTTCCCTATTTTATGAAAAACATTTTTTTATTTTTAACAATTACCTACTTATGTCAATATTAAGTTACATATTGTATTCTTGTTATGTACTCAGGTGAATCCCGGGACTAGCTTTTACATCATATAATTTCTGTAATGTAATTAATGTAATAAATTAATTAATGTATTTGATTTAATTTAAAGTTTATTTTTTTCTTTTTAGAGCATTTAAATAAAATCTTTTTTTTAAACAAATTACTATTAATTTACTTATTACGTAATATTTCTCAATGTATGAATGCGTTGTTCCAAAGAAACAAACTATTGCTTGACCTTTTATTACATGATATGATATTATATTACATGATATAACTTAACGAACTAAGTTTTTTAATTTCAGTTTATACAGCTACATTCGCCTGTTTTTCCAATCTTCATTGGTGATGCGATTTGACAAGTTGAAAAAAGCAAAACTAAAATCCCAATTACGCCGCAAACAAAAAATTATAAGAAATGAGTCCAACAGACAAAAAAGTTTGTAGGATGGTAAAAAATTGAGTATACGTCGATATGGGGACCGGTAACTTGGAAGATTTAAAAACCTTAGTCTCCGAAGCACACGTTCTTTTATTCAATGGAATTTTAACACAATTTTAAATTGCCGCTGAAATACGAGGGTGGATTGAAAAGTAATCGGCCTAACACAGATCCATTCAATTCTAAAAATCAAATCTACCCACATTATTTAGTTCAGTTCAGACTAGTTCATTGTGTGAAGTTCGAAACGTGTGCGATAATTAGTTGTGATTTTATAAATTTATTAACAAAGTAATCGGACATAATTTCCGCGAATGGAGCAAATCGAGCAGTGTGCCGTCATTAAGTACCTCCATAAGAAGGGGCTATCATCAAAAGCCATCCATGATGACTTGGTCAGTAAATTAGGCGATTGTGCTCTGTCATATTCATCCATCAAAAAATGGATAGCAGAATTTAAGCGTGGTAGAGAGAGTGTGAAAGATGAACCCCGCTCTGGAAGGCCTTCGACGTCAACTACTGACGAAAATATTAAAAAAGTACTTGATTTAATAATGGGAGACCGCAGATTAAAAATTAGAGAGATAGCCGAGATTATAGGCATCTCTTATGAACGAACTCAAAACATCATTGTCAACGAGTTGGGTTTCCACAAGGTGTCTGCGAGGTGGGTTCCGCGACTGCTTTCAGTTGAACAAAAAAAGGACGCGATTGACTATTTCACGCGACTGTTTGGAGTTATTTGAAGCCGATGCAGATGATTTTTTGAATCGTTTTGTTACTATGGACGAAACATGGGTTCATTACTGTACACCGGAAACAAAACAACAATCAAAACAGTGGAGAAGACCTGGTTCACTACCCCCTAAAAAGGCTAAGTCGATTTTGTCGGCAAATAAGGTGATGGCTTCAGTATTCTGGGACTCGAAAGGTGTGATTATGATTGATTATCTTGAAAGGGGTCAGACTATAAACTCTGATTACTACTGCACCTTACTACGTCGTTTACGAGAGGAAATAAAAGAAAAACGTCGAGGAATGCTCAGAAGAAAACTCCTGTTTCATCAAGATAACGCCCGTGTTCACACGTCAGTACAGTCAATGGCTGAAATTCACAACTGTGGCTTTGAACTGTTACCGCATCCGCCGTATTCACCTGATCTGGCACCATCAGACTTCTTTCTGTTCCCTAACCTAAAGAAGCACTTGGGAGGTCAAAGATTTTCGACAAACGACGAGGCCAAAGCAGCTGTAGACGCATATTTTCACTCTAAGGAAGAATCATTTTTTTTTCAACAGGCTAAATGCTTGGAAGGGGAGGTGGCAAAAGTGTATTGAACTTGATGGTGATTATGTAGAAAAATAAAAATATAACTGATTTAGTATGTGTTTATTTTCTTGGTTAGGCCGAGTACTTTTCAATCCACCCTCGTATTTTAGCATGATGCATGGTTTAATCGCAGAACAAAAAGTTATTTTAATTAAATGATGCCTAATCAAATGCCTTGACGCCGGTGTTAAAGAAGTATCTCTGATATTTGATGGGTGTGCAACGAACATAACGGCAATGAATTAAGGACAGCTTTTAAACACCCCGGAGACAAGTCTAAAATACCAGGTTTCTAAGAACCAGTTCACATATTTTAAAATAATATATTCTAAATAAAATCGAAGCTGAAATTTACTGAAAATATTTATATAAGTTAAACAAACTCCCAGAAAATGTAGGACTTCATTATAGCAAATAAGCTTACTCGTAGTGACTGCCTCGTTGGTCCAGTGGTTGTAGTAGTGCGACTGCTGATCATGAGGTCCTGGGTTCGAATCCCAGGTCGGACCAAAAAATTAATTATTGAGTTTTTCCGTCCAGAAATTCACAGTAGTTTCCCGGAGTCAGGAAGTTGGCGGTGTCTCACCCCCGTGCCTCGGAAAGCACGTAAAGACGTTGGTCCTGCGCCTGATCCCTCTCCGGTTGTGTCGGTTTACCGTCTCATCTGATTATGAGAGTGAGGGAATAGAGAGTGTACTTGCGCATACACTTGTGCACTATAATCCTGTCCTGCGCCGATGGCTAGCCTCCGTTGAGGCAGGCCGCCGTAGCCTATTATTATTACTCGTAGCCATAAAATGTTCCGTAATAATATTATGAATGTTGAGTTTGCTAGTCAAGTTTTAAGTAAAAGTGTCGAAATAGCATTAAGATTTCGGGAAGATTCCAAATTGTTAACATTAAAAAATTCTAAAGCAAACGATTTGATCGTGTAAGCTAACAATTACATTGTGAGACGTCTTGGAACTGTGTTGATTGGACCCGTGGTGACGAACTTGGCCAGATAAAATCCACTCGAGTGTTGTGTTTTGCGCAAGAGGAGCTCCCGGTGGCCCTTTTATTAATTCTTCCAGCAAAATCTGGCTGTACAGACCGCACACACCACATGCATTTTCTTTATAGGGTATGTTAATTGAGTTTGTTAAAATTATAGTGTACTTTAAACTTAAGTTCTTTTGCTATATCCCGTAATATATGTGTTGTAATGTGAAACACAACATTGTTGCATTTAATTTTGATTTATTTTACATCGCCTTATGCAATGGTGAGCGGATTCTTTAAATTTAAATTAGTCTTAATTTTCCTTACAGTGATTTATAATTCTAGACTATGTTTTTTTTGGCCCTTGCTAAATTTAAGTTACTCTTAACTTTCCTTATTGTGATTTATAATTCTAAGCATTGCTAAATTTATGTTACTCTTAACTTTCGTTATTGTGATTTATAATTGTAGACTAAGTTTTCTTGGTTAATGTTAAATATGGACATTACGTCCATGGCGGAATGTTCAATACTCTAAAAATGTAGCAGTAATAATAGTGTGAAATTTTAATAGATGGCGATATACTAATAAAATGTAACAGTAATTACAGTGTTATGAAATATTAACAGATGGCGCTGTTCTAATGATATTTATGTAGTAGTAAACATAGTGTCATGACTTGTTCATAGATGGCGCTATATTTTCAACAGAAATTTTATAATTCGGGATGTTAAATTCTATCAAAATTCTATAAAGGAATTTGTGAAAAAAAAATTATTGACTTTTCTTTGGTAAATCAGTTGTTTTATTTGTAATCGCAAGGAGCATATTTTTAGACTTAGTCTTAAACCTTTTAACAGTCTTAAACTTCAACCTTATGTTCACAACAAGCAAGTAAATGAAAAATTTGTGTTTACTTCAGTAAATTCATAATGCTTGGAGAAGTTTAGAAGTAACAAAGTAAAAAAACTTCTATCCCTTTCATACCAAAGTAATCCAGAATTTTTTATGACATATTATTTAAGATTATTTGCAATGAATTTGATACTACTTTATACGTTTACTTCTGAAACATTCTCCTTGAACAATCGCAAAGCATTCAATGAATGGGCGACAGTAGGAGTCCATAAGTGTAGACAAAGATTATATGAACTTTACAATGAAAGGTCATATTATAATCCTAGCGTCGACTTTAGGTAATACGTATCAAATATTTAAAAGAGTGTGCTTGATAGCCAAGTCTTTATATTAGAGCAACAAAATAAAAACGGTTTCTAGTAAAATTAAAATGACATGGAGTATAAATTAATAGTGAAACTGGGAAGGTTATGTCTCGCAATTCAAACTACCAGTTAAGTTTTAACAACAAATTAACTAAATAAGATCAGGACGTTGCAATGGTTTTTGAGCAATATTTTATTGATATTCCGATCTTAACCATCTGAATTCTTCTCCTGCCGTCGTCGAATCATTACTTAACATAACATTATTCCCACATTGAATTTCACAGTCTAAACGGTCAAGTCAATGGGACGCATTTTCCCACGAGCTGTCACTGTCATTTCGTAGTTGAATATATTATCTACGGTTTATAGGCCTGTGATCGTGTTTTCGAACGAAAGAAAAAATAAAAAGAGATGTCATTATCATTGTCACAATAATTACTTACCGGTTATTGTATTTTAATGCAGTTTTGTTAATGAAATAGATAATATGTCGAGAAAAAATCCGGTTAGTGTTAATTTTTGGTTATTTTGCATAGATGTAATGTTTATTCAGTTATTGATGTGATTTATTTTTCCAAATAACAAAAAAATGACTTGGTTTGAAGGATTCGAATTATGTTGTAAATATTTGCTTGTTGCCCGTTTAGATTTCCTACGTAACGATTTATTTGGGAAAACTGTTTCCGTAGTAAGCATGCAAGATTTCTATTTATCTCATAAGCACTGTTTTACGTTTTCGAAACCACTTCGCGATTCTGAAATTGAGTTCCAGCTGTCACAGCTACTCTGTTCATCAGAAGAAGAAGACCTTGATGATGAAGCAGTTGACTCTTTTGCCACCAGTAGTTACAATGTCGATTTTGACAAGCGTTTGGATGAGCTTTAAGGTATTTCTGTCAAAGAATTACATTCTTTATCAGATTTGTCTCTTGTCCAAGGTGAAACTTTTTCGAATTCACCAGTTCAACAGATTTCTAAGCCAATTCTTCCTCAAGTGGCTTCAACTTCACAAGATGCAATCGCTGAAGTCCACGCAGGCCCTTCTCATGTGATTTCGGATGTTCCAATGCTACTTGATCAAAATCCTAGTGAAACAACCTCACTTGTACTGTAGCTTATGTCCAGGCAGACCACTCTTCCCCAGTACTAGTATTGGCAGAGCCTGATGAAAGCTCTAATGCTGAACCAACATCTTCTTTCTCTAGGGATCGCGGCGGGTCGCGGAAGAATTGGCACAGACTATTTTGGTTCTTGTTGGAGGCAGCCGTCATCTGTTCTTATATTGTTTATATGACGTCACATTCGGAAAGGAGAAACACCCATAAATAATTCCGGTTGCGATTGGGCAGAGGACTCATCAGCAATTTTTCGTCAAGAAAAATCCTCGCGCCCATGTTCAAAACAAAAAAGGAGGTACCATTTTAGTACCGGAAGAGATTCGAAAATCGGACGTAGGATCCCACATGCCCGAATTGACCAAATTTTGAAGATGCAGAATGTGTAGTACACGTGAAAAGGAGCAACGCAGCAAATATATGTGTAAAGTTTGCAAGGTATCTTTATGTGCTGTCCCTTGTTTTGAAATGTTACACAAATAAAATAAATTAGATATTATCTTTTAATTTAGTGTTTTTAGTTACTTCAATTATCTTAGTCTGACTAACTGTTCCTAATATGTAATGTAAGTATGAAATATATTTCCCACTATTTGGAAAATAATTTCCCAGGAATCACCAAAGGTTACAAGGTGTAATCGGTCAACAGGAATTATTTACCCACATAGTTTCCTGAAAATCTGAAAACACGTACAAAAATACTCAAATGAAATCCTAAATCTGTATGTACCACTAATTACATACTAGCTTTGAAACTTTTGCAAACATCCACAGTTTTGCCATGCCCTAATATGGGTTAAACAAAATAAAAATGCGTTTAAAAAGTATCATCAAAAGATATTGTAAAATATTTTAAAACTATTGATATTAAGAAAACCGCAGATCCGTGGGGGAGTTACGTTAAATAATAGTAATAGATACAATACCACCTCAACTATAATTTTTTTAATACTAGTATCTAATCTGGCATGTTCCTGATTTAATGAAGCCTAGTAAAGAAATACTTTTATTTATATCTGGTAGTACATTGGACTCCGCCAATTTTAGACCTATTTCTGTACTGCCAAACCTTAGTAAAATTTTTGAAAAAATTATTCTTTAATGAATATTAAATTTTCAATGTAAATAATTTACTAAATAAAAATTAATTCGGTTTTTCAACGAGTCGCTCGACAACTGATGCTGGTGTTGAGATTAAATTTATCTTATGGGATAATTTATGAGAGAATTCACAGGATGCTTTGGGTATAGTCTGTGACATGTCCAAATCCTTCGATTGTGTTCACCATGAAACATTAATCAGGAAACTTCAACACTACGTGTAAGTATTAATGCTCCGAAATAAATTATTTCGTATATAAGTAACAGAACGCAAAAAGTTATTATTAATAGTAAGAGATAGTAAAAATGTTAATGTTCCTCAGGGCTCAGTTCTCGGCCCCATTTTGTTTCTTGTATATTATAGAGTTGTGTTTGAGTTAAAAAGGTATGGGGTATGTTCCGAAACATTTTCAGTATACTGACGAATACAAATGACGTCATCAATTGACACTATTGTACTGGCGTGCCGCCGCCATATTGTGTCGGATATCCGGCCATAATAAAACAATTTTTAACTGTGTGTGCGCTGAATGAAGCATGCCAGAATTTGTTTTTATTTATTCACATACAAAAAATTATAGAATAATTGCTGGTATCTCCATTAGGAGGATGTAATGATTTTTGGAGACAAAATGACAAAATAATCGACAACACTTTTGCACTATGGAGCAAATGTTTTTGCATTGTGTTGGCATTACACATTATTTTGGCATTGTGTTGGCACATTATAATCCCGACCTAATTACAATAGTGACGGCTCATGCGGGGCCGAATGAGTTCGGCTTCGGCGCAGTGCTCGCTCACACGCATACGCGAAGTTATACACAAATTCAAAAAGAAGCGACTGCTATCGTTTATGTTATAAAAAAGTTTCAGCACTATTTATACGGCCGCGTGACCCCTTTTATTTTGCGAACTGATCACAATGAAATGGTAGCGAATAGACTTCAACGATATTCTATATTTTTGTCCGCATACAATTTTACAACAGAGTATGTCAAAAGTGAAAATAATGCTGCCGATTTTTTAACACGATGTTTAGTAAATGATTGTTCTGAAAATATTGAATGTAGTCCAGATCAAATTAATTTAATTATTAATTTTATTAACGATAATATGTTAAAACCTATTACGGTAAATGATATTAGGAATGAAACTATGCAAAATCAAATACTTTGTAAAATTTATAAATTTTGTTATAAATGGCTGGCCATTGAAAATGCACAACACGGAACTTAAACCGTATTTTAAATGTAAAAATGATTTAAGTGTCGAAAATGGGTGCTTATTAAGGGGACACAAAGTGGTTATACCAACAGTTTTTAGGGAAAGTCTACTTAAAGAATTTCATAAGGCCCATTTTGGCATTGTGAAGACTAAAAACCGGCCAAGAGCGTGTCGGACCACGCTCAGTGTAGGGTTCCGTAGTTTCCCGTCCGTCACAATAAGTGTTCCCACTTATGAGTTTAAAGGTGGGTATCCATTATGTTCGCGCTCCAACAGCGCTCCGCGCTCCTGCAACTGCTCCCGGTCGTGGGTACTGTTGTTTCCATCCAAGTTCGAAATGATTTTCCTAGAAAGTCCTTACAAAGTTCTACTTTGCAGATTTTTTTATATTTTCTAAACTTATGGTTCAAAAGTTAGAGGGGGGGACACATTGTTTTTTACTTTTGGAGCGATTATTTCCGAAATTATTTACATTATCAAAAAATTATTTTAGTAAACCCCTATTCATTTTTAAATACCTTTCCAACAATATATCACACGTTAGGGTTGAAATTAAAAAAAAATCACTTCCCATTTTACATATAGGGGGGCTACCCTAATAAAACATTTTTTCCAATTTTTATTTTACCAATTTGTCGGCATGATTGATACACATATTGGTACCAAATTTCAGCTTTCTAGTGCTAACGGTCACAGAGATTAAGCGAGGACGGACAGACGGACAGACAGGCATGGCGAAACTATAAGGGTTCCTAGTTGACTACGGAACCCTAAAAATGAAGCTAGATCGCGTATGTGGTGGCCCAATATTGATAAGCAAATTGAAGAAACAATAGGATCGTGTAGTATTTGCTACTCTCTCCGCTACGATCCACCTCGTTCTCCACTAGCATCGTGGCCATTTCCGAAACGTCCTTGGGAACGAGTTCATTTAGGCATGTTTTTTTATCCAACAAACAATTTTTAATTATTGTAGACGCACATTCAAAGTGGATTGAATGTTTCCAAATGAATAATACAGATAATGAAGCAATTATCAGCAAACTTTGAGAGATTTTTAGTAGATTTGTGTTATGTCGCACTCTGGTAACCGATAATGCGAGTAATTTTTGTTCAAATCAATTTGAAAACTTTTGTTTGATAAATGGTATAAAACATTTAACTTCTCCTTCATATCACTTAGCATCAAATGGGCAAGCAGAAAATACAGTTAAGATAGTTAAAAGGGTATTAAGGATTATTTTAGACACACTTACGAATCAAAAATCAATAATTAATAAATTAAATGAGTTCCTTTTTAGTTATAGAAATTCGGTTCATTGCACAACCGGTTTCTCACCTGCCCAGCTGTTGTTAGGCCGTCCGCTCCGCTGTCGACTCGACTTACTTAGGGACCACAAATTTGAGCAGAACACAAATGATACATCTTTATCATCCACAACCAATAATGTTGCAAATAAACAGATCTTACAGAGAGAAAACTATGACGGACGAAGAAAGAGCAATTTTAACAAAGAGGACAAAGTTTTACTTAAGCATTTTTACAACAATGGGAACGATTACACGTGGAAGTTCGACGTAGTTAAAAATAAATTAGGAAATAGATTATTTACCGTTTTTGTTCCGGAGTTAAATAAATATTATAAGAAACATATCGATCATATTGTTGCATACAAAGGAAATAAAAATAAAGAATATGATTTAGAAATTTTAAAATGTTTCTAATATATTGAGCACAGATCAAGCTGATTGTAACGCGAAGGCTACAGAAGTTGATACCATAACTTTCGACTCCTTGTTGTTAAGAGGAGAAGAGAGCGAAAGTTCTGGCGGTAAATCCAATCAACATTTAGAGGTACCAATGCAAGGGCTGCCTCCCCGCTCAACTAGAAATCCGAATCCAAAATATAAATTTAAAAAAAATTACATGATTTATTATGCATTTTTATCATTACTTATGTTTTTTTTATATTTAGTGGTGGAGAGATTGTAGAGTATGAAAGCCATATTGTAGGCTTACGAAAAAGCTAAGATTTGACAGTTGTTGTCAATAATTAAAAAGGTATGAATTCAAATTGTGTTTTAGTGGTGAAATTCCCATAAATAAACAATAATATATTAATGAATTACCTTACATAGTAGGGGATTACCTTGATACAGTATTATTTGATTATGATACTTGGTTAATTTTCTAATTAAAACGACAGTTACTAAATTAAGACGTATTAAATAATGTTATATCTAAATTAGTAAATTGGTTTAATGTTAATAATTTGTATATAAATGGCACTAAAACTAAATGTATGAAATTTATAACTCCGAATATCAAACATGTTAGTACTAATGTAATTTTAAACGGGAAGGAGCTGAGTCTTGTTGATACCACCATTTTTCTTGGAGTCCACTAGACGTAAAGTACTTATTACTTGTCAATGTATAATATTTGACCTAAAATGTGAAAGTATAAAATAAAAGAAAGTAAGGTACTTTTTTATATGTTTTGTCCATACATATTACTCTATCCATTTTCTTTAGTCTTTATTGTACACACCATAAAATGATAACAAATTTTAAATATTAAATAAAATGTACAAAGGCGAGCTTAATCGTAATAAGAGTTCTCTTTCAACAAACTCTTGTGGAAAGAGAAATACATTTATATGTAAATCAATTAGGTAGCAGCGTGCGTAGGTACTTAATAACTAACAAAACACTACATAATATAAATTGGCTATAAGCTATAGTTAACAATTAACATATATGTGTATAAAATATAAATATATTTTCTATTCTATTCCTACGAATTATACATATATAAATAAAGATAATACATAGTAAGTATATATAAACAGATACACACAAATATACATAATAAATACCATTACAGTTACGACAACCACTTGCGTATTGCTTCATATTGCACGAAAATTTTCTCGACGATAAGAGCCAGCGGACTTCGTAAGTAATAAAATGTATAGTGTATAGGCATAAAAATAAATAACGCTCGGACGATTGATGCATGCATAAAAGCAACCTCATGTACACACACAAAGGTTTTTCGAATTGGGATATTGTTATAGTTATGCTATCTCGAGTGTTCTAGTACTTTCCGATTGAAAGAGTGGAATGACCCGGAATGGCCCAGAAATTTCTATATTTCTTTTATCGACTATAGAAGCGCATTCAAAGAATCATTAATTTCGGAAACGCGAAAGTGAACTCCACACCGAGAAACGACTACGAAAATTTGACCTACGACATCTGCGATTATAGACCTCATCGAAGAAGCTTAGCGATTTTGAATGACTTGCTGTATGTGTAGAAAAATACACCCATTTCTCCTCTGAATCGGCAATATTACTCACCCCGCACGTATTAATATATATATATATATATATATATATATATATATATATATATATTACGTATATACATATATTTGTTGATAGATAATATTTCTTTACTCTGTTCTGAAATATATCTAAAGAAAAACCAGCAAGTATGTCATACAGGACTGAGTTCCATAGCTTGACCGCCCATACAGTAAAGGACCTACCACATCGATTTGAGAAATGATAAGGTATTTTGAGAAGTAGCTGTTTAGTGGTCCGGTCCTGAGTTTCGCGGGGTACAAGATACTCAAAACGTACAAAGAAATTATAACACACGTAAATCTTGTCGTCTGCGAATACCAAGCAATTTTAAATAAGTCCTGTACTCTGAAACATGATCAAACTTCCGAAGACCGGAAATAAAACGTATACCCAAATTTCGGAGACATTCCAGTTTGTTCAACAATTCCTCTGAAGAATCCATAAAACTAACATCAACGTAATCAATGAAAGGAAGAAGAAGTGCTTGAGCTAAGGTTATCTTAGATTTTAACGATGAAAATATCTGGAGGCGCTTGAGAGATTAAAAAGAGTGGTTCAACTTCCTGCTAATCATATTAATGTGAGTAACCTTATACACTTTATTATCAAAGATAACACCTAACTTCATAGCAGTCTTTGTATATCTGTATATATGTATGTAATCTGATTACATATTACTATCGTAAGTTACAGCAGGAATCTTTGAACGGTCTAATAAGTTGAGTATAATGTGTGAGATGCCGATAATCATGTTCAGGAATTTAGCAGGGCAAACAAGAAGACCAGAAGATTTTGCTCAATTGCTTATACTACTTAAGACTGCATTCAGCTTATTAATGGCCTCCTCTATATCTTTGACCTTGAAGTGACATTTCAATTGCTAGTCGTCAGCTTAGATATAATAATGAGAGAAGAGAAGAGTAGTGAGCGGATGTATGAATATAGAGGACTCAAATGGGAAAAGAACACCAACCTGCGGAACACCTGTCGTTAAACGCTACTTAGATAAATACTCCTCATGGCGAACACAATGCGAGCGTCCTCTAAGGTTAGAATCAAACCAAAAGATTTCTGAGGGTGAAATTCTTAAGGACGATAGAATACCAAGAAATATGTCATAATCAACGAAAATATATACTTTGCTGTAATCCAATAATGTTGGAACAGTGAGAAGTATTATTGTCCATGGCCCAGCAAATATCATCAGACATTTTTTAATCAGAGCGCTGACTGTACTATGGCCTGTGCAAAAATTAGATTGAAAAAGACTCAGCAGGCTGTGAACAGTTAGAAATTGAGATAGTTGCCTATAAAACTATATTTTCTAGTACTTTAGGCAAGATTGGAAGAATAGAAATAGGGCAGAATTTGGTATAAAAACGTAGGATCAGACGTTTTTGGAATAGGAATGACGAATGCCTTTTTCCAGCAAATGGGAAAGAGCTCGTTTTAAGCGAAGTATAGATAATGTGGGTGATAATAGAGATAATAGAGACAATTTTATTAGTGATAGGTTTAGTCATTTAAACACACAGATTGTCATAACCAATAAATAGGTTTAGTGGAAATAAATAAAAAGCATTTTTATGTCAACTTTACTAAATGAAGAGGGGAACACAATGCCTTAGGAATATCAGAGAGAAGATTAAGTGAGTTAAAGTCATCAACAGAAATAAGAGACTCAAAAAAGTGCCGTTTGAGCGTAGTCAAATCAAGCGAGACATCAGAACTATTATATCAAAGATGTTTTATAGGTCCAGATACCGTGACACTAACACACCGCCCCATTCATAGTGACACCTGTTTGATTCATCTGTGTGCGAGCGCCACGTGTTACGCATATTTTACGAACCATGCCTACATAATATAATGACTTTGATTACCCTAAAATGTGGGAGATTTTATATTTCATTCATATTGACGTACCTATTGATTCTAGGAATATAAAATAGTGTCTGCGAGGTGTGTGCATTTGTATGCGTGTATATATGGGTTTATATGGTTGGTTAAAACCTATAATTAAATGTAACAGTTAAAAATATTCAAAAATCACACTAGATCTTTGTGTACGTAACATATATTTAAATAATCTATTATTATTAAATATATACAGAGTACTATACTTTAGTACTGTAGAACCAAAATATTGCCGCTTTTTACGAATATATTATTTATTTTTCAATCCTAAGTAAAATAACAATTCTATCTAATAAACTATCTAACTATTACATAACAACCTGTTTGTGTTGACAACAGTGAACTTAAAGGCATATTTTCAAGATCCGATCCGGAGTACGAAAGAGGTCTTTGACTCTTTTTTGTGACCTTTTATAAAAAGCAAGTTTCAGTCTCCGTTTTTCAGTCACCTTTTCATTTTCGACTTCCGTATTCTCTACAATTGAATCACTATCTTCATTCCATTCGCTGTTACCACTTTCAGCGTAATCAATTTCTAAATCGATGTCATCTGAGGATAAAGATTTCTGTACCATTTTCATTTTTTCTGTTTTCTTCTATGCTTTTTTCTGCTCTCACCTTGGCTCTGTTTTCTTTCTCATCTTGTAGTCTACGTCTTTCTGCTTCTTTCTTATCATGGTACGCCTTCCACGCCTTACTTGTAATCGCCGACGGTAACTCTTCTTTCTTTTTCTTTTTGTCCTCAATTAAGGGCCAAAAAAGGACTTTTTTAAAGGGGACGGTACTACAACACCCAATACATCGCTTAATGTATTTTCTGTGAGTGTACAGTGAGTGATAGGTCTAGGATGGGGATAAGAAGGCTCAACATCTAACAAATCACCATCATATCAACCTGGTATAGAGTCTTTATTCCAGTTAACATTTCTGGTCAACTCAGGTTGTTCTGATTCCATATTAATATCATAATCTTTCTCTGACTCTGCATTGAATGTCGCTGGTATTGTATTATCGAATCGGTCACTATTTATAGGCAATTCCGAGTCGACGTCTGTCGTAGAGTGTGTAGCACTTTGTAATTTAACAGTAAACATCGTGGTAGGAGAATTGTCATCGATTGGCATTTCCACAGAAAGCTCTTCAATTGCTCCAGAGAATGGCGGCAACTAATTTAATAGAATTTCTGATTCAGGGTTAGTAGCAGAAAATGTGGTCTGAGTAGCTGTTGTTTCTGCGAATTGTTGATCTATTTGTTTTGACCGGGTCTGTTGTGGAAGCTCAATGAATTCGCCACTATTTATAGGCAATTCCGGGTCAACGTCAATCGTAGAGTGTTGGGCATTGTGTGATTCAACAGTACACATTGTGAGAGGAGAAATGTCAGCTATCGGTATTTCAACAGGGAGTACTTCAACTGCCCCAGACTATGGCGAAACTCATTTAAAAGAACTTCCGATTCACGATTGTTAACATAATACGTGGTTTGAGTGGCTGTTGTTTCTGCGAATTGTAGATCTAATTCCTCTGATCTAGACTATGGTGGAAGCTCAGTATGGCATAAGTGCTTATACTTAGCGCATAACATATAGAGTCCTATGTCCTCAGCAGGTAATTAATTTTCTAAATCGGTTCTCCGCAGAATGAAATATTTTTGAATGTATTTAATTTTTCTTCAGAAAATAGTTTCATGATTTCAGCCTCCGACATCCGTAGAAACTCAATGTTTTGCAACGAAGCAGCTTGAGCTTCCGTGATTTCTACTGGTCGATTTTTTTAGTTGAGCTTAATAAAAACAATATATTCCGGTCCAAATGAACATATGCCGCCAGATCAAAAACCATTACTAATACAATCTTTAGTAATTTCATCTGAAACGCTTTTCAGAATAGGAGCAAAAGAAGTTTTTGAAACCTGTTGACACGGATGTTCAGTCTTCCACTTAGTGATCTGCATCTTCCGAAATACTTTTAATGGTTTGCCTGCAATATATGCGTACTATTTGAATACAAAGCAATTAACTCCATTCCATTTTTTGCACAGAAGTCTGAAAGATGTGTCGTCAAATATGATCCGTGGCCATCCAAAAAGAACAAGACTGGTAACTCTATTTTTTTCTCGATCAACCATAGGTGGATTATATTTGTGAAATACTCATGAAAAGTCACACACACATCCACCCTGATTCTGATCTCCCAATCTCCCAAGTATCAGGTACACTATCAGATATAGGTTTAGGCACACGCTCATAAGCAAACACTATCATAGGAGGTGCTATTTGACCAGCAGCATTTGCAGTTAATAAAACAGTCAAGTTTTCTTTCTCATTACCAGATGTGGTATACACATTCATATCACCCCGTCTTATTAAGACACGACCAGATTTTGGTGATAAAAAAATGCACTTTCGTCTGCATTAAATATCCTGCTAGTTTGATTAAGCAAATGTTCAAAGTTTTGGTCCTGAAAGTAATTTTTGATCTCAGTAAACCAAGATTTGATTTGTTGTTCAGTGATATTACGTGATGTTATTAGATTTTGTGCAGTTCCTTCCGAAATCTCAGGATGATTTTAAGAAATGCTTAGTACCACGTCTCTCCAGGGCGATAGTTAGTTTTCCTGTTGTCCTTAATTAGGGTAAGCCCTTTATCACTAGAAATGACGTCATTATAGAATGGATCATCCAATCTCACCAGGAAGTAATGACGGCTGCACACTTCGCGATTATGCATGGTGAACGCGCTCAGAAAGTCACGCCCACCATGCTTTCGCGGCACGTACAGCCTCATTACCGACGATCTAGTCATGGTAGTGCGGACTTTTCTATCCAGAGGCGTTAAGTTGAGTCCACCTGAGTATGCCAAAGGTATACATGAGGACAGGCATGACCCAACCGTTATATGCGTGTATCTTATTCACACCGGACAAAAGGCTGTTAAGCACTTTGGTCAAGCGCGCATAAAACACGTCGCAAACTGACTGTTTCATATCAGCCTCATCGGTACCGATAGGATATATTATACCAATTCCACAGATCCCTAATTATACTGCTTTAGAAAAAACGTTCGACTTTAACCAGAATGATGGTGTAGTGATTTATGGTAAATATCGCCTAAATCCTGAATTTATAGAAATTAAACTCAAACATGCCTCTTGCATACAACTAAGAATTCTCGATCTGACGATATTGGGCATTTATCGTTTACGTTTGAACTCAAACGCATCTGTATTCATTGAGTCCTTGGGTGCACACCTTGGAAACATAAAATCTTATCGTAACGTAGTCATCTCCGGAGACATCACCATCAACCTCATTCAGTGCAGGAAAAAACAAACTAATGACCGCAATAATAGAATTGACTATCTACTACTATCGATATATAAATACGCTAGCTAGTCACGGTCTACTTGCTGGTCACATACTGCTCACGAGAGAATCCAGTTGCCTTGACAACTTCATGATAAAATTAAAACAAAATAAAATTTTCCGCAAATATCGCTGTTTTAAAAACCACACTTACGAATCATCTGACTATATTCATGTGCATATCAAAATTTAAAAGCAAAGCAATTAATTATAAAATCATTGTGTGTGTAAATTTTGAAACTGCATATGAGAGACTGCTCCAAAAGAACCAAGGAGTCTTTGCTCTTTTGCGAAGATACCGATTTAGTTACCAAGCGCCTTTTGCTATTGCTTGCAGAGTCACTGGAGGAGAGTAAAACAATAAAATATCTTACCAAAACCAGCAGAATATTAAACCTTGGATCACAGCTGGAATTCTTACATCTATCAGAAATAGAAATAAATGCAGCTGAAGCTTAGGTCCGATCCATCAAATAAAATTCTAAAAATTACTTTCAGACGATATAGAAACTACGTTAATAACTTATAAAAAAAACGAAAGTACGACAGAGAACTATTAACTATTGCTACCAAAAGTAATAAAGATCTTCGGAAAATAATAAAAACGGAAACCTATTTTAAAATTTTTAAATCGTATTGAAAAGAACTACTTAATATAGTACCAACACCGTCTGACTCTGTTAATTCCATGAAGGTTAGAGAACAGGAGAACGATCACTACGTACTAAAGCATGGCCCGTCTGTCCTTGAAAATTGTAGAATTTATAGCGGCGCTGACGTCGGTAGGTAGTGACTGCGAAGTTAGCTGTTTATGAGTACAAATGGATGAAGTTAGTGGAATAATGTACAAAATTTCTCCGCGACATTGGTGAGAAAATTTTCAGGCTCCGTAATTTTATAATATTTTACAAAAAGAAACATTAAAAAATGGAGAAATATTTTATTGTGCGTGGATGTGCAAGTGCTTTAGCATTTGATCGGAAAAATAGACTAAAAATGACCGAACTTAGCGAATGCCGCGCTTCACTTATGGTGTCCATATTTCTGGGACATTATTTTCTACAGCAAACCTTCTCCTTCTCTCTAATCTCCATGTTACAAACCATGGAGGTTAGAGAACAGGCAAACCATGCAGGTTAGAGAACAGGAGAATGATTGCTGTAGAAAATAGTGTCCCAGAAATATGGACAAAATAAGTGAGGCGCTGCGATCGCTAAGTTGTCTCAATAAGACATTTTCAGTCTATTTTTCCGATGAGATGCTAAACCACTTGCACATCCACCCATAATACAATATTTCACCAGTTTTTAATGTTTCTTTTTGTCAAAAATCAAAAAATTACGAAGCACGATTATTTTCTCACCAATGCCGCGAAGAAAATTTGTACATTATTCAACTAACTTCATTTACTTGGACTCACAAACAGCTAACTTCCCAGATACTACTTACCGATGGCAGTCAGGGACAGGCTGGCTATATTTTAGCACGTAGCCATGGAGTGTAGAAGTAAGTAGTACCAACTCCCATAGTAGAATATTTGAAAAGTGGCCATCTGTAAGCAGTAAATATCAGTTCATAAACTCTCCACAACAGTGCTGGAGTAGCTACTGGGATGAAATGAACTTAGCAGTTGTCGACAAATTAAGTGTGCTGCCAAACTGCTCAGTAGCTCTAAAATCTAAAATAATTTTATTTAGAAAATATAACCTCGGAAAAGTCGTCTATCCCACTAATATTTTTCAGTGTGTTCTTTTAAATTTACCCCCTAGTTATAGTGGCGCCACCCTTATTTAACGGTTTTCTATGGACACTTTTTAATACACAGTCTGTACTCCTTACTTCTACACTCCATACACGTAGCGATCGTTCATGGAGACCACACTCCGAATACCTACTTGAAGCTTAACCTATGTATTACTATCTCGCTCTCTGTGGGCAGACCCTCTCTTTCTAAGTAGGTAACCTTTATTTTATTTTCCCCAGGATATCGCTATAAGTAGTTGCGTTACATTAAGTGGTTTATTTTAAATATCTACATTTCTGTTTACTACTAAGATCTAGCTTATATAGATAATATATTTTTGTACAATTTTTGGGAATTGACTGGTTTTATGAAGAAAGGTTTTCATTACCATGGACAGAACCGGTATTTAAAATATGACCACGCATTTCCGTTACAACCCATATAATGCCGAGCCTATTTAGAAAATGTGGAAAATAAATAATAATTTAACAGGCCTGTTGGTCTAGTGGTTAGTGACCCTGACTGCTATGCCGGAGGTCGTGGGTTCGATTCCCACCCAGGACAAATGTTTGTGTGATGAGCACGATCATTTGTTCTGTGTCTGGGTGTAATTTATCTATAATATTTATGTATTTAGAAATATATAAGTATGTTTATCAGTTGTCTAGTACCCATAACACAAGCTCTGCTTAGCTTGGGACTAGATGGCGTTGTGTGATAGTTGTGGAATATATATACACACAAAAGAAACATTTATACGGACTACTCGTTGATTGTGTTTGGTACAACCGTATATCTACATTGTCTATAGTCTACCGATCAAATATATCAGAGAATATTTTATAACTACCATTTCGATAATGTATTTTCTAGTTATTGTATCCAATCCCAAACGGTACCAACGAAATATAAAATTAAAATTTATTATAACACCCCGGGTGTTCCATGAATTGGCAAAATATACCTGATTTATTGTTCAGACAGACTAAATCTATTTTTGGACAATTATTTTAAAAAATATATCACGAAGACTAAAAGAGCTTAGCGGAGCTCCTGCCTTAGTCTTCTGACCTTACCCATCAGAGTTAGGCTGCTCTGAGCTGAAATGTGTATAATACTATATTCCACACATCCTGTTCATTTTAAGAATTATCTGCAATTCCTAGGAATTCTTTATAATGACGAATTTCATAAATATTTAGTAACATATGTACTATAACAGGAACGGTAATATATAAAAAAAACCTCAAAAAAATAAATAAAAAAACATTTTCCATATTAAAATCATTTATTGAAAATTGTCTATTATACATGACTAAATATTATTGCTCTGTGTAGTTTCTGTCTCTTACCACGTAAATCACTAAGTATATTTTCTGTATGACTCTTTTAGTGAGCACGTATACGCATATTAAAAAATGAATTAGCTATTTTCTTAACTATCATAGTTTCAGGCAAATCATTAAAATTAATTGAGTCCGTGATCGGGTGGTTAAACATTTCCTGCAACAGAGGAGTAAAATGTTGTGACCGACATTAATTAATTTGTTTTCAATGTTATTGGCTCTAAGTTGGCCCATCAAATTAGCTCGTTGGAAAACTTGGTCACAATATTTTACAATTTTGTAAGCTGCTACCGAAGGAAAATAAAGTTTGCCTCGGTTCACAAACGTCGTAAATGAATTAAATTTATTTACAATCATATGATATGAATGATCTGTTGACACATAGTTAAGTGCTACTAACGCATTATTACAATGTTCACAAGAAATGCGGGTAAGAATTTGTTTTATAATGTAACCAGTTATATAATATAATATGTATGTGTTTTAAGCTATATAATATATTATGTAATGTAATATTAAAGTCATAATAAATACAAATAAAAGGTATGTATTTAGTAATAAAGGAAAAGGTAACTTACAGGTAACTTGTTAAGATTGCATAAATTTTCAAGAATTTTTCGACATTGTTTTTTACTAGTTTGGTAGTATGTTTCACTCCTGTTTCCTTAAGTGCAGAACTACTTTCATAAATGTCAGAACTAGTGCTTGGTACAGCCAGAGCAGCTATTTGCACAATAGACTCTTCATGTAATGCACTTGTTGTCTGCAAATGATAACATATTTTACAAAATGTTGCTTTATATCATACATTTAAACTACTACATTTCTAAATATATACTACATTACGAAAAATTAGATAATTAAATTATATTAAATTTTTACCTTGCCTGGTGATACTGTTTCTTGATTTGTTATAGCAGTAGGAACTGCTGTTGGTTTTAAGCGCCTTGTTGTTGAATCATAATCTGATTCTTGAAAATGCAAATTGCAAATCCTTGTACTTTCATAATACTTCATTTTCAATGGTACAATGGATAACCACAAATTTCTCCGAGAACTGTTTTTAGCCATCATAGCCCTACTGTACAAACACTTCAGCACTTCGATATACCGACAGTCAACTTGGCACCGCTGAAGGGACTGTAGCACCGCCCAAATTTCGACGAAATAAGGCTTTCTCATAGTCCACATTGCCAGGCAAAGTGGGATTGTTTTCGGGGGGTACGAAGCCGGAAATCGGGGGGGAAGTCGTCGAGTCTGCGTGTGAGACGATTCGTAATGACTCTCGAAAACAGCACGTAGACGCAGCTCAGAAGGGAAATCGGTCTGTAGTTCTTCAAGAGAGTGTTGTCGCCTTTCTTAAAGAACAAGACCACCGCGCTTCTGCTCCACGCCTCCGGAGTAGTGCCACCATGGAGGATGGAATTGAAGAGCTTCTGAAGGACTTCAAGTACCGGTGTTCCACCTGCTTTCAGAAGCTCCGCTGTAATTCCATCCTCGCCCGGGACCTTGCCGTTTTTAAGGTGGTGGAGAGCCATTCTAATCTCGCTCAGACTGACGTCCGTCACTAGGGGCGGGAGGGGGGAGATACGATACTTGGTATCGAGTAGGTATCGATACTTTCAAAATATTCGGAACCCTACACTAATTGACGTTTGACATCAATCATTTGTCAAATTTATTTTGTAATTACGTGTTATTTGCCAATTTGTATGAAAAGTTTATTTTTTTAAACTTTCTCTCATGAACTGTAAGTTTCCGCAACCTAAAACTTTGCAAAACGCTTTCTTTTAGTGAGTACTATCTATAAAAAAAAATAGGGGCTTTGAAATCGATGGTCCATATTGAAAATATTAGCCTTCCTAAATTTCATGCATTTCCGGTAACATAATAAGAAACATGTACATATAATTAGTTAAGGACACGGAAAGTCTCAGATACATCCTTAATATGGTCACACTACTTCAGTGCGATTTATTTCAAACAAAAACAATTTATGTTGACATATAGGGCTAATGTTGCCACATTACAGGATCCTTAGGAAATGGGATTGTAATTCACTGATTCGTTAACCTAAAAATGCATACGAGACCTTCAATTTTGGAATTTTTATTGTAACTAATCGTAGTTCAACTATTTATTTATTGGTACATTATTTTATAGAGCTTAACTTCTGATTTGGTTAGTGTGGAAACTATTTCTAAGAATTTACCAGGAGGTTTAAATAAAAACATAGCAATACTGTATTCCACACTAAAAAGAGAAGTCAGACCACAGAGAGTGAGATAAAGATACGTAGGTATTTGACTCAAGCTGTTGTTCCAAGTGTGGCCTCCATCTTCTCCTTCTCTCTAACCTCCATGGTTTGTAAGTTCTTTAAAAGAAACTTATAGTATTGAGAAAATTGAGCGGAGTAATATTAACAATAAATAACAATTACTTATTTCGGTATTTATATAATCTAGATTCTTTAAATTTAATTTTTACACAAACAACTAAAAACAAAAAAATTAACAAATATCTATTTAAAAATTAGAGACATCTAAAAACTATGTCCTGAACTAGTTGTTCATAATGTTGCTATTATAAAATAAAATTACCTCTTTCGAAAATAATACTTCTAAAAATAATGCATGTACCCATATTATTTAATTGTAATTTTTAGAAACTTTTCAAAAGTAACATTTCCAAATAATAATTAATATTTTTATGAAATACTTTTTATCAAAGGCTTTAATTTATTTATTTTATTTATCATGATTGTTTCAAACAGTATCTTGTAAATTTCCAAAAAAGGTGTTAGAAAGTTGATAAGGAAAGATTTTTGAGTTTTTTTTTTATATTCTATAAGTTAAACATAATATTTACTATGACCGTCATTCTCAAATAATTTACTGAAATTAGTGAAAAATAAAATGCATCCTTCACATAATTTTGTGCAATTGAATTATATTATATATTTATAATTATTAGTCAATACTACAAAACCATGAATCATCAACAAGGTTTTTAACTTTTGAAACATTACAATTTTTAATTATGGCAATTTAGTCAAAGTGAGACATCGCCCTGCTAACGGTGTCATGGCGGTTTGACTTGGTTAAAGGTTTTTTTGCAATAACTTACTAGTTAATGTGCTTTTTACCAACTTGATCTTTGGTTTCAGTGAATCAAATCACGTGTTAGTAAATAGTTAATTATGCGTGAATATAAAATAGTTGTGCTAGGCAGTGGGGGCGTGGGAAAGTCTGCCCTGACAGTACAATTTGTACAAGGCATCTTTGTGGAGAAATACGACCCGACCATAGAGGACAGCTATCGGAAACAAGTGGAGGTGGATGGGCAACAATGCATGCTGGAGATTCTGGACACGGCTGGCACAGAGCAATTCACCGCGATGAGAGATTTATACATGAAGAACGGGCAAGGTTTCGTGTTAGTGTACTCCATCACTGCACAATCAACGTTTAATGACTTGCAGGATCTTCGGGAGCAAATTCTACGAGTGAAAGACAAAGACGATGTGCCAATGGTCCTTGTCGGCAACAAGTGTGATTTAGAAGCAGAGCGCGTGGTTGGTAAGCAGCAGGGCTCCAACCTAGCCAACCACTTTAATTGCGCTTTCATGGAGACCTCCGCGAAAGCCAAAGTAAACGTAAATGACGTGTTTTACGATTTGGTACGACAGATTAATAAGAAGTCGCCAAAAGAGGATAAGAAACCTTCAAAAGGATCAGTTAAATGTGTCCTTTTGTAAGTGTGAAAGGCTACTATGTGTCTAGGTATAGAATATTTAATAATTTGAAAGACTTCTCATACCCGGATTTGGCTCTCGATGGTTCCAAAAGTTAAATAGGTCGGGTGAGCATTGTTGCTTGTCGAATATCTTTAGCATTTCGAGAATGTTCATAAGTTGAGCAAGCATTCCAGTGCTTAGGTGTAAGTGGAAAATGCACAGGCATCATGGGTCAGCATTTATTTGTATTCTCTAGAAAATATCTTTGGTGCATTAATTTGGTTTAAATATTGAGAATTGATTCATAAATCCTGTGCATCTTTTACTACAATATAAATTCCAATTGTAATGTGTAGACATGGCTACATTCAAAAGTTCTCAGGTGTTGAATTATTAACCCTTACTTAGTCCATGATGTTAAATATTTTGCCTAAAATCCCTTGGTTCTGATAAGTAAAGGAATTATGATAATACTAGATTATATATAATAATTTCAACTTGAAATAGCAATAAATTATAAACTGCTATTTATTTACTTCATAAAATTATAATGTATAAATTAGTTTGGTTTCAAACAATGCTAAATGTAGACAATTCCATGTCAACTAGACCAAAACAGGAAAATGGAATTAAAGTTATAATCATGCATTAATGTTTATTTGCTTTATAAATAATTAAAAATTTATCATGCTTTTATTTAACAGTGAAGAATGTTTTGTATGTTAATATACATTTTAATAAACCATTAACAAAGTTTATTTTTATGCTTGTGTTTGTATTCCTTTGTTTGTGCTCCATTGTAGAATCAGTTTTATAGTCAAGTGCCTTCTTACCAAGATACATGTCTGTGTATGCACATGTATTTAAAAAATGCCTTGTATTAATTGTTTTACTTTGTAGGTTATCATCAGGTCAGTATGCATTGTTTAGTGGTGGCCAATTTTCATGGTTGTTTAATGTAACAGTTATGTTTAACAGATTTAAATTTATTGTTTTCTTCAATATTGGTGTAGCTACAATGTATAACAGTTATTAAATATTAATTAATGTAATATTATTATTTAAAAAAACAACATGAAATTCAAATGCATTTTATTTGTGTCTGCTGAGCTATTCAACTTATTATACACTCTGACACTGACATTGGTGAATGCAACTAAACTAGAGATGGGCCGGATATGGATTTCACCAAATATGAATATTCGACCGAAAGTTCGGTAAAACTTTTACAGAACCGAATATTCGGCCGAACATTATTCAGCAGGATCACCTTGATTACTAACCAATTTATGTCGAAATATGTTATCGTAAAGGGTGCGGAATTAGCGCCTGACCCTGCCAATCGCTTCCCTGCCACATCTGTTATGTTTCTGCATCATCTAGTACCGAGCAAATTGCCCGCACATGTTTATGTTTTGACTATTTTTGTGAGAAAAAAAAGTATTTCGTTGTGTTAAAATATACTTTCAACATTAAAATTATAAAAGTAATGGCATTACTCAATTTTTACATTTCGATTTAGCCGAATATGAATATTCGGTAAAGCTGCTGAATATGCGGAATACCAAATATAAAACGAATATTCGGCCCATCTCTAATCTAAACCATTGAAAGAAAAAATTGCAATTGAATTGGTTTTGTGAAACAATTCATTTCTCAATGCATGCTTAAGTTTTTATTGAAAACAGTTGATTTTTTCTGATACAAAAGCTATTCGTTGATTAATTGCCCACCACTACTATTGTAAATTAAAACACCAAAACTTAGTTGCCTTTTGTTTTACCAACGTTGCCATACTGTCTGCACTTAGCATTATTGGAGACATAAATATTGTAATCATTTTCAAACTTCTGAACTATTAGTATGAGAGTTGGATATTAAGGTTCAGGAGAGAATATGCCGGCAGGCCTGAACCAGTGTATAATGTTTAATAATTAAGTATACATTAAATTTTTCAGATATATTATTGTCTTGTTATATAATTCAAATGTATCGAAGGAAAGTTGATACCATCATACTATTTAGGTCTCAGTAACTGAACAAATATTAGTGAGCCTTAGGTGAGTGCACCCAACTAAATGTAGTATATCCATTGTTTACCCAGTGGTGTGTTGCCCTGCATTGTGTACAGTATGTGCCGCTCACAATAGACTGTAACCCCTTAATTATTAGAAAAAATCTAAAAAAATTATCGTTATTGTAAATGGATTAAAGTTTTATAGTTACTGGCTCATTTTAATATAAATTACCGACATATGTTTTGCTGCTATGGTCACTTTGT